CCATATAATATTGGCCAGTTCAAACTCACTGCTATAATAACTAATAATGATTAATATAATAACTATACAGGGAGTGCAGAATTATTAGGCAAATGAGTATTTTGTCCACATCATCCTCTTCATGCATGTTGTCTTACTCCAAGCTGTATAGGCTCGAAAGCCTACTACCAATTAAGCATATTAGGTGATGTGCATCTCTGTAATGAGAAGGGGTGTGGTCTAATGACATCAACACCCTATATCAGGTGTGCATAATTATTAGGCAACGTCCTTTCCTTTGGCAAAATGGGTCAAAAGAAGGACTTGACAGGCTCAGAAAAGTCAAAAATAGTGAGATATCTTGCAGAGGGATGCAGCAGTCTCAAAATTGCAAAGCTTCTGAAGCGTGATCATCGAACAATCAAGCGTTTCATTCAAAATAGTCAACAGGGTCGCAAGAAGCGTGTGGAAAAACCAAGGCGCAAAATAACTGCCCATGAACTGAGAAAAGTCAAGCGTGCAGCTGCCAAGCAGTGGCGTGTCTAGAAAATTTTTGTTGGGGGGGCCAGGTAGGGGCACAGATTTGGAGAAGGGTGGCAGATGTAATTGGCAGATAATGTTAAAAACAATTCTACCAACCGTTAACCATAATTCAATAACCCTGTAAACCTAATAACCGAATGCGCTTTTAACTCTTATTAGAATGAGATTTTAACCACTACGGTGCAAAGTTTTTAGATACTGCGTTGATAAAGTACAAGAGATACAATCAGTCAGTGTTTACTCAGCATTCAAGGACATCAATATTTGCATAGTATTTTTACTGACATATAGTGCACATATGTTTTGGGCAAAAACATTTTTGAATATTAAAATACGAACATGCAAACTCCACACAGAAAGACCCCGGCCTGATGGTGGAATTGAACTCAGGACCTTCTTGCTGTGCGGCAACAGTGCTAACCACCGTGCCACCGTGCTGCCCGGAGTACCCGGAGAGAACCCGTGTTTGCGTGGGTTCTCTCCGGGTACTCCGGCTTCCTCCCACCGTCCAAAGACATGCAGCTTGTGGGGATAGGTTAATTGATTAATCTAAATTGTCACTAGGTGTGAATGTGCGAGTGTGAATGGTTGTCTGTCCCTGTGTGTTAGCCCTGCGACAGACTGGCGACCTGTCCAGGGTGTACCCCGCCTTTTGCCCTATGACAGCTGGGATAGGCTCCAGCGCCCCCCGCGACCCTGAAAAGGATAAGCGGAAGCGAATGGATGGATGGATGGAAAATACGAACATTTTTAACATACAATTGGCAAATTAGCCAATGCCAATGCAAAACCAATGCCTGTTAAAAAAAAGAAGATAATCTTCTCACAAACTGGTGTTTGATTTTGAAACAGGAAAAAAGTGGGGAAACAAATGAAAAGACTAACATTTGAATAAAACCTGAAAGCAAGTAAATACTTTATATGCTGCCTTATGGTAAACTTTGGTAATATTGATGTATAAAGAACAACACTGGCTGATGATGAAATACAGTCAGCTGGCATGGTGACACTGCCAGTATTAACCTGCAGGGCTGGACTGGGACAAAAAATTGGGCATTTTGACTACAGACCGGCCCACCAGGTATTAAAGCCATAAAGCCTTTGAATTACAAAAAATAAATAAATAAATAAATAAGTCATCAGCCCACCGTGCAAATGTCCGATGGCTAGTCCAGCTATGTTAACTTGTTAATCTTTCGCCGAAAAAATGTTTTCTGCGGTGCCGTCTTTCGTGCTTGGCTCTCCTACCTTTGCTAACATGATGCTCATAGTGCAGAAGCCGGTGCTGCATTCACTTACCCTCGGATATCTGAGCTTCACTGTGAAACCATAATCGTACATTTGATATTTCATTAAATTTTATTGTTTTAGCTTCGGGGTGGCACCTGGGGTGGCCAGTCTGCCACCCCGCTGGACACGCCACTGCTGCAGACCCTGAATTGGGACAGAGCCAAAGAGTTGAGCGTGCACGGGCAGAAATGTTGAGAGCGCGAGCAACACATTGCGAGCAAGCGCAAATGCAAAAACTGAGCGAGAGGGGCTGCTATTGTGTGTGTTGTATGGATAATAGCAAACACTGAAATACATTTTTTGCACGCAGCAATGAATTTTGTTCACTCAAATTTAGCTTTTTCTTCACTCAAAATAAATTTCTTCTCAAAATGCAACACTTGCACCTGCAATTTTTTTTAACATGCGCTCAGAATAGTGGCACAAAAATAACGCCATAGCTGGAGTGGGACACAGCCATGGTGCAGGGAAATTAGACTTTTGTTTTCAACGAGACAGTAAAACATGTTTCATTGTTCTGTTCCAGTTGGTGGCGGTAATGCACCAGAAACATTGTTTGCCAACCGCCGTCACACATAAAGAAGAAGTAATCGTCCACAGAGCAGAAAGTAGGCTTAGAACACTGTGGATCGTACTTTTTTCTTCCACGGGGACTTTTATATTTTTTTCAAGTCGGCTAAAGCAAAGATCGTGTGGCTGTGCTGAGCTTCCTTACTGCTCGCCCTCTGGTCTCCGGCAGATCAAGTTTCTGTTTCTGATGCTTGATTGGAAAGATATACGCTCTCGTAGCTCACGCAGCTTGGTCTCTCTGCAAGGTATATCTACTTGGGCTCTCGGTGACAACGCCAAGTCATCCTGTCGGTCAGTTTGGAATAAATCACCTGTAAACAAATAACTTGCCCTCGTGGTGATTGACGGGAGTAACATGCTGGGGAGTGGAGGTCAGTGAGCCCACTGTCTCTACCAGTCCTAGTCCAACTGCAAAGCCCCGCTTGCCTCCTTCTCCGCGCGTGGATCTTTAGTTTGAATCAGAGGGGATCGAGGGTGAGTACATTATAATTATATTGGTTGCCTAACTCTATAACTGTCTACAGGGTTTCTCTCTCTTAGCTAATTTTGTTTTCGTCTGTATGTTCTGTTCGGCCCCTGTCATTTTGTCTGACTGGAGTTTCCAGCAATTCAGCACCTTATTTATTTTAATCATTTGTGTTCAGCTATTTGTTTTCCTTCATATGAAGTAGGGCTGCCAGGATTAGTCGACTAGTCATGATCGTCGACTTATCCAATTTAATAGTCGACGCCTCGCAGGAATAAGTAGTAGGATTTAAGAGTGTAATAACGGACTGAAACAGAAGATGGCAGCACTGCATGTACAAGGATGCCAGCTGCCGTTAAACCCACGAAGAAGAAGAAGCTGTGTCCCAGAATTCATAGCGCGGCCACTCAGTTTCCAACAATGGCGGCAGCTAGTTAGTTTTAATATTACTCTTATTATTCTTTCAGTTTTGTTTGGCTTTTTTTCAGTATTTTATTTGTTCCTGAGTAAATCGGTTTGGCTGAGATTAAAGTTATCGTTTTTACACAGCTGAATAAACATCAAGCAGACAACTGATTATCAGAAGTGTGAGATGCTCAAGAATATACTCCGGTGTCCTGTTATATTTTAAATAGCAAGGAGCAGATGACGAAGTTTATTCAACTTCACCAAAGCAATCTGCAAATTTCATTAAAATTTATATTATCTTGTCTTTATTTTTAGTTAGCACATACCTTAAACACTTAAAGCTGTAAACTAATGATAATTATATAAGAGCAGGTGCATGCTGGTGCAATAAGCTGTACGTTTGCTTTTGTTTTTTACTTAAAAAGAGGTTATACACACACAATACGGTAATATTATGTTGAAGCACAGTATGTATCACTCTGCGAGGCTCCTGCCTACGATAGCCATAATGCTCCGACAATCCATCAAGCGGTGCGGGTTCGTAGCTTAGCAAAGTCATACTAAAACATTTGACAGATTTTCGAGCGCTGTGTACCACATAGAATCATTTTGAGGTCAGTAAACACAACCAGAATTCATACATAAGGCACACAGTATTATAAGGGGCACTGTCGATTATCAGAAAAATCAAAGGATTGATTTTAAGTGTGCCGTATGAACGGTATGATATGGCCCAGCCCTAGTTGTTACTGACTCTATGAGGCACAATAATGCTATACAATACAACGCTCTGCAGCAGTGCTCTACAACAGTGTTTCCTAACCACTGTGCCGTGGCACACAATTGGTCCAAAAATACAATTTAATAATTACTACAAGTAGAGCAGGGCGATATGGCCAAAAATATTTATCACGATATATATTTGAAAATTTGTGATAACAATATAATTGACAATACAATTGATGCGAGACAAAATACAACTCCACAACTTTACTAGCGCAAAAAAAAAAACATCATCCATTCATTTTCACTTAAGCAAGAAGCTGTTTTTTTATGTGCTATAAAGCTATATAAAAATGTAACAGTGCAAATGCAAATTCCTTGCTGAAAGTTTAACCAAAAGGCATTTCCAGTAGAAATGGGCTGACATATCCTGAGCATAACCATGTATAATATCCACTGAAGTTAAAAGAGGTGCTTTGCAACATTAAACTGCAGTGTGCCAAATAAAAAAGTCAAACATGTATTTTTCTGAACATAAGGTGCACGGGATTATAAGACACATTAAGCTAAACAAAGCAGTCAGATAAATCAAACTACTCAACTCATTCTTCTTGCTTCCTCCACTTCTGTACCATTGATTCATTAATGCTGTATTCTATCACAGCTGCTCTATTCCCATGTTGTTGCAGTATATTAATAACCCTAACCTCATATGGTGGATGGATTATGTCAGTTGTTCTCCTGACTGAAGTTTGGTCCGTGTGATTGCATTTGTCTCTAACCATCAGGAGCCTTCACGTTAACTTTTATTGAGTGGAAAAATGGTAGCTTTCATCCTGGAGCTTCACTGTTTATGTTATGCTAACATAGCCGTGTCGCTAGCGATCACGTAGCACGTCATTATATACCACCTAGCTCAACTTCAGTAACCCTACAAACGTCACTGCTGTTTAGTTTTCTGTCTTCATTTATGTTGGAAGTGACAGCAGAGCAGTACGTTTGAATTTTTTCAGAAATCTCTCTGTCAGAACGTGCTATATCATGCTTAAGTAACTAGTGAAACTAGCAAGCTAACTTCCGGTAGTTTTCTGCTAACTTCTAACTCGGTTAAATGTAATAAATTCTGTTTTCATGGATGCCTGGATGTTAAACTTCATAGTTACACCTGGTAAAGCAGCAATGCTGATCGTTTTATTAAAGATGAAAGAATTTAGACAGTTTTTAACTCTCAGTGATGCTGCAGTGTTCGTTTGACTTTGGGACCTGAAGAGGACGGAGTTTAGGACCCAGATTACTCCCAAATTCAATGCAGTGACTGGTAGAGTAATTACTCTTTCATGTCTGTGGGTGGCAGTGGGTAGTGCAATAACACCTTGGTAAATAGAACTTTCTATTTTCCAAGGCACTGCCAGAAAAAACAAGAGGAGAGGACATTTTTCAGGTTACATCTGAATGTCTTGAACAAGGAGGAGTTAAGTGGGATAACTGCATAAGTGTCTGTCAGGGGTAGACATTTGTTCTATCACAAGTAAGAGAAATAAGACACTGCAGACCAACTCAGAGAGTTTTAAGAACGTGCGCACGGGTGAATGTCCCTGAGAAGACACACACACCGATTGCAGGCTTGCTTGCTTTATTTATAGGGCAAAGCAGGTTACATAGTACTTCCTCTTCTGTGAGGAGTCGGGGAGAGGTTAGACGTTAGCTCAGCGCTTATCTGACCTCACACCCACACACACACTCTGAAATAACGAATACAGAAGTATATCATGCTTATCTGACATCTCACACACTGAAGCAAGGAATACATCATGTTCTCTTTAACAATAAGCTTGGTTATGTTGAAATATATGAACACTTGAATATAAGGCACACTTGATTATATTGTATTATGTAAAAAATCTTCTTACAGTGTCTTCATTGATGGAGCAGCAGCCATGGTCGAGCACACCAAAGGTTTCATTAGCAGAGTGAAAGTGATACACGCATGTTATTGTTACACACTGTTTTCTGCACCGTGAGGCGCTGTTGCCAAGACTTTAGCAGCAGATCTAGCTCCTATGTTGGATGATGTCGTGCGCATGGTAAACTTAGTCAAGAAAAGACCTCTGAAAAGCCGTATATTTGAATCTCTGTGCGAGGAAATGGGAACGGAGCATACAGCCTTATTGCTCCACACGGAGGTCCGATGGTTGTCACGCGGAAAAGTACTGCCCGTGTGTATGAGCTGCAAGAGCTAAAAGTGTTTTTGAGTGAGGAGAGGTACAATGATGCAAAGGTGCTTGCAAGTTATTGGCAGATATATTTCAGCATTTGAATGAACTCAACATACGAATGCAGGGCTGAGATGAAAACCTCTTCACAAGCACAGATAAAATAAATGGATTCCGTTCAAAGGTGCATTTCTGGCAATAACATCTGGAAAATGCCAACCTTGGCATGTTCCCAGTCGCCCAGAAATGGCAAGGAGATATCAAAACTGCCGTACTATGTGAAATAATAGGTAAACATTTGAAAACGCTCGAGGAGAAGTTGTCCAATTATTTCCCCTCAGTCTCCACTGAATGCCTTGACTGGGTAAGGGGCCCATATAGCTCAGCAGCAGTTTTCAGAAAGGATATGACTTTGCAGGAGCAGGAGGAACTAACTGAACTGAGACAACACCGTGGTTTAAAGCTGAGCTTTGCTGATCTATCTTTGGACAGTTTTTGGTTGACTGCTGCCCAGGAGTTCCCCATTCTTGCAAACAGAGCCACTTTGACATTGCTCCCATTTTCTACAACATATCTATGTGAGCAAAGCTTTTCGAGCATGGCTGCTATAAAAACTGAAAACAGAGAGAGATTAAGAACTGTTAAGGAAGAACTTCATGTATGCTTTTCTTCAATTCCTGCCAGAATATCATCTTTATGTTCATCTAGACTAGCCCAGGTTTCACACTGAGTGAGTATAAACAAACTGAGAGACTAACTTGCCATTATATGTACTGTATGAAGGTACAATGTGTCATTTTGGAGCAAGTTTGGTAGGTGGTGTGCCACTGGATATTTTTAACCTATAAAATGTGCCGTGACTCAAAAACGGTTGAAAAACAATGCCCTACAATAAATCTCACTGAATAGAAAAATGAAGATGTTTGCTGTCACAGGCAACTGGGAATAGAGTCTAATGGAGGAGCAGCTCAGCCAGTGCAGTGAGAAACATCGGTACTTCATAAAAGGTGGCAAAAATAAAATCACCACCACTATTGTACAGACACTGCAGACACGCAGTTTAAAGAGAAGATTTTAACATAAATTTTCCCCCTTCTCCCACTCTAGTAGTTGAGCTGTCTCACTCTAACCTACAACATTCCGTCCCATACACACACATTATAAAGTCTGAAACGGGGGGGGGGGAAAGCATGAAACTTAAACTGGGGCTGAACGTATAATAGATACAGTGGCTTGCAAAAGTATTTGGCCCCCTTGAACTTTTCCACATTTTGTCTCATTACAGCCACAAACATGAATCAATGTTATTGGAATTCCACGTGAAAGACCAACAAAAAGTGGTGTACACGTGAGAAGTGGAACAAAAATCATACATGATTCCAAACATTTTTTACAAATACATAACTGAAAAGTGGGGTTTGCATAATTAATCAGCCCCCTGAGTCAATACTTGCCAGAACCACCTTTTGCTGCAATTACAGCTGCCAGTCTTTTAGGGTATGTCTCTACCAGCTTTGCACATCTAGAGACTGAAATTCTTGCCCATTCTTCTTTGCTCAGTCAGATTAGATGGACAGCGTTTGTCAACAGCAGTTTTCAGATCTTGCCACAGATTCTCGATTGGATTTAGATCTGGACTTTGACTGGGCCATTCTAACACATGGATATGTTTTGTTTTAAACCATTCCATTGTTGCCCTGGCTTTATGTTTAGGGTCGTTGTCCTGCTGGAAGGTGAACCTCCACCCCAGTCTCAAGTCTTTTGCAGACTCCAAGAGGTTTTCTTCCAAGATTGCCCTGTATTTGGCTCCATCCATCTTCCCATCAACTCTGACCAGCTTCCCTGTCCCCGCTGATGTCCAGAGCATGATTCACCATATTTGACAGTGGGGATGGTGTGTTCAGAGTGATGTGCAGAGGGGGCCGAATACTTTTGCAAGCTACTGTATTAAATAAAATAAATAGAAGCTGAATAGGGACCTTGTAAATCAGAATCGAGTCAGCTATAGAAATCAGTGACGATACCCAGCCCTATTATTATTTTAAACCTCTAGCAGTTCAACACTTACCTTTGTACAATTTTAAGGTAATCATTGGACTTGAAAGACTTGAATTGCAATCAATCACAAAAACATTTGAATGGTAATGTATGTAAAGGTATATATCAGAAATTTTAAGAAAGTGGAAAAAAAGATTCCTTTGGTATTTCAGATTGGGACTTTGACTCCTGACCAGGGTCTCTATCCAGAAGAGCCCTGTCATGTATTAAAACATAACTTTCTGCTCTAGCAGTCCAGTTCAGGTCCACTGCGGCCGACCTGTTTGTAACCTTTGGTCTAAATGTTTGGTGTCAGAAGACTCCATAGGTCCCACAGCCTCTTCATGATACCCCTTCTACCAGGATTACTTGCACAGTAGCATTCCAACAGTCTCCTGTTCTCATCCCTTGTCCTTCTTGTTCTAAGAACCATACTTCTCATGAGTGCGTTCTGGTTCCTGAACACTTGACACAGGCATGCTTAAACTCAGAGACTGCATCCTCCTGAGGACCTGGCCTTCGTGTTTTAAGTGGGGCGAGTCCAGCTGTGTGTAGGTGAAGCGAACGGCTGTGAAATTGGAGGGTTTAGCCTTCAGTTTTGCAACACAAGCCGGGGAGTTGAATAAACTCAGCTTTCTGCTCCTTGCTATCTAAAGTATAACAGTACACAGGTGTAAATTCTCAACCATCTCACATTTCTGTTGTCATGGCCCAGGCCAGTTAACTGGAGGACTCAAATGTGGGACCCACACATACACCCCGTAAACGGGAAAAAACAAACAAAACTTTATTTCATTTTCAAAAAGCAAAAACGTGTAGATATGAGTCACGAAATAATGGACTAAGGTTTTCCTGTCTGCTTGGGAACCAAGCTTGAAACAATGACTAGCTTTCTAATGAATAATTGGCAAACTTAAATCTTCATAGAAAGTCCATTCTCGTGAGCATAGAGGAAAGGCACAGGCTGCGGGAAATGCACTGGGAGTCTCTGCACGCTGCAACAAGAGGAGAGTGGTTTTAGTGATAAAGCTTGGGGAAAATGTCCGGGAAAAGCATGACAGTCGTTTGCCTTACTGTTCGCGGGCGAGGTGTAGACACAGGAAGTACAAGGTCCTTGATTCAGGTGCTCAATCAGCTGGGCGGGGGGAAGGAGGTCTGGCACCTTGGACCGGGCGGCCTCGGGAACAGGTGGCCCAGTGCCCGGTCAGGTTCAGTCTGTAAAGACAAAAGTATTTTGTCTTGTGTCAAGACAATGTATATCGTGATAAATATTTTTGGTCATATCGCCCTGCTCTACTTGGAACAGGCCATTCCGTGACTGCTCTCACTTTTGCAGGGTCCGTCTTCACCTGCACTCCTAATAACACATACCCCAGAAAAGCAATAGTTTTAGCATGAAACTCACACTTTCCTGCCTTTACAAAAACATATTCTCGAGGAGGCTCTGCAGCACTGCCCGTATATGGGTCTGATGCTCCTCTAGTGACTTAGAGAAAATGAGTATAGTGATTTAAGAAGTCCCATAGCACGTCATTCACTAGAGTCTGAAACACCGTTCATTAATCCAAAGGGCGAAAATGCATACACACACACACACACACACACACACACACACACACACACACACACACACACA